CTAAGGCCCTCCCACACATAGAGTCCCAATAGAAAAAAGGAGTCAGGAAAGGAACAGAGAAGGAGGGGCCAATGATAGAAGAGAGCAAATAGAAAACGTTTCCTGGTGGAGAGTTTTCAATGCTGCTAAGAGGTCAAGTTAGGTGAAATTAGAGAATTGAGCATTGGATGACGTGCTTGGGTAGAAGACATGAAGCTCAGTGGTGACCTTAATAGTGACTCTTTCAAGGGCCTGGTGGTAACTAAGTCTTAACTGGAGTGAGTTTAGCAGAGATTGGGTATGAGAAGGTGTAGAACAAGAATAGGCAATTCTTTGGAACTTGTTTTGCTGCAGAAGAAAGCAGAGGCATTAGAAATAGCTAGAAGGAAATTTAGGATCATGGGAGACACTTCTTTATTTTTCTTGAAACTAGTCATTACAATGAAAAGAAATAGTGATAGAGAAAATGAGGAGAGAAAATTGCCTTCCACTGAGATTCCCATTGAGATGGAAATATTCCCACTCAGAATAAATTTTGTTGTGCTTGCTAGGTGCCATCCAATTGATTTCAATTGATAGTGACCCCACGTGACAGAGTAGAACTGTCCCATAGAGTTTCCTAGGCTGTAATCTTCTTCTTCTTTCCCCCCACAATAGCCAAAAGGTAGGAATAACCCAAGAGTTCATCAACAAATGAGTGGATAAACAAAATGTGGTATAGGACTTGTATGTGCTTAGATAGGAGCTCTGGTAGCATAGTGCCTAAGGTACTTGACTGCTAACCAGAAGGCTGATGGTTCTAACCCACCAACCATTTCTCAGAAGGAAGGTTGGGCAATCAACTTCCATAACGATACTGCCTCAAAAAGCCAAGGAGGGGTTGCTATGAGTCGGGTCCAACTCGACGGCATATAACAACAACAACAGCATGTACTTAGATAAGCATGTTGTTGTTGTTGTTGTTATTATGTGCCGTCGAGTCGGACCTGACTCATAGTGACCCCTTCTTGGGTTTCCAAGGCAGTATCACTACGGAAGTAGATTGCCCCACCTTCTTTCTGAGGAGTGGCTGGTGGGTTTGAACCGCCAGCCTTCTGGTTAGCAGTGAAGTGCCTTAGTCATCTTGCTAAGAAAACTATTCCTGTAATTGTATCAGTCTTACATTTATAGAAAATAGATCTATATAATACAAATGCTTTTAACATGGACATGTCTGTCTACTTTAAACATTAATAAAAATTAAGGGAAATAAATCATTTCAAGAGTGAAACAAACCAGGGCTGGGGCATATCACTACAAACAAGATATTTTCCTCAAAAATTACTGGTGAGTTAGCCAAGGGTTAACCAGATAAGACAATAATTTCTATGTTTCAAAATTCCCACAAATGGTAATTAAATAACCTATAACCAAACATCCAACTTTCTGCCAGGTATTTATTAATACATTATTTCTAACCCTGTCAACAACTTGCAATGTAGTTATTAATATCCTCATTTTACAGGTAAGGAAACTGGGGCTCAGAGAGGTTGAGTGATTTGCCCAAGGCCACACAGCTGGTAACAGGGATATCTGCTTACTGAATCTTAAACAGCAGTTCTTCCTCTTCCTAGGGGCCTGAGCTGTTAGTAGGAACACAGGTGTCCACCCAGTCCCATACATGCAGAGAAGCATCATTTGGTGCCAATAACAAAGTCCTTGCTTTGCAGAGGTGCCAGATGTGGCACTGGTGACCAGTAGAAAAGTGTTCAGCTCATTTGCATCAAGGAAGATATGACCTCTGTGAGTGAGGAGAGGCTCTATTTGGCTCCCCACTCTAATCCAAGATGTGACATCATAGAACTGGAATGTTCCATCAAAACCTGAAACGGCTAAGCAGTTGTTCAGGACTGGGGCCCAAGTCACTTTCAGCAGCTCTGGGTCAGGTTTAGGCATGCACATTGGACACTGGACTGAGCTCACAGGATGGCAGAGATCCCAGAGGCTTGGGGAGATAGAGCTGTTCATTTGAGCCAAGGCTGGCAATGCTAGGCCCACGGCCTTGGTCCCTGCCCCCAACTTTTGCACACCACCTCCTTCTACTAGACCCAGGGCTGAGGTTCTCAGATGGTATCCAGTTCTGGAGAATGTGGACATGCCCCAGACAGTCAGAGGTGTAATGGAAGGCAAAGTGTCTGCACCCAGGAACTGCAGCCTACTCAGCACCTCACTGTCACCAATGCCTGAGATGTGTGTGGCATTCTGAATTTCAGGTCTGTATTCCTCAGACTCCAGGGGCCATCAAGGAGAAGACGGCCATCCTCAGCTTCTACTCTTCCTCATGCACAGCAATCGTGCTCACAGTTTTAATGACATCACTGTCCTTTGCAATCTGCCACACTTGCAGGGAACAACCTGGAAGGTCACTGGTCACCAGCAACCTGGTTTCTGGAATGTGCTTTAGATCAAAGACAGGCTTATCTGAAATCCTCCATGGCACACCTTGAAATCTCTTTCTGGGAACAAGCCCTACTTCTCCTTCACAGAAAGTCTGAGCGATAGCATCAGAGGAAGAATCTGATTTTTTTTTTTTTTTTTTTTTTCAGGCTTTCTAGTCAGCAACAAAGATTCCTTTGTCACCAGTCCAGTCAAGGACTCGAATGACTCCTGAGAGGTTGAATGCATGGAAGTCCTGGTACCTTTGATATAGTTCTTTGGAGGAGTAACTTGGAGAGACTCTCCAACGTTGTTTTCTGCCCTAAAGAATTTGTTTCACTAGATCACTATGTCTTTCTCCCATACAGAATAAGTAGACTCCACTGCCATTGAGTCGATTCCGACTCATAGTGACCCTACAGGACAGAGCAGAACTGCCTATAGCATTTCCAAGGCTATAAATCTTTATGGAAACAGACTATGTCATCTTTCCCCTGTGGAGCGGCTGATGAGTTTGAACCACCAACCTTTTGTTTGGCAGCTGAGGGCTTTAACACTGCACCACCAGGGAGGGATCCTTGGAGAATAAGTAGTGGAAGTCAAATACTTTATTTTTATGCAAGTAACTTTCATGTTATAATTTTTTTTATCAACTGCAGCCTCCCTTAAAGTATTTTCCATAAGCACTCTCACTATGCTTTTTTTTTTTTTTTTAAAAAAAAAACATATTGCTGTAAGTGGTACTGACCATATGGCAGATCCTATGGTAGACTGGTGAGTTTGGTAATGGAAAGATGAAGCAATTCTCCCCTGTTTGCTTTGTTAGACCATCTTCATGTCAACCAATTATAAATTAATTGGGATTATAATTGCTTTTAAAAATAAAATATAAATTGCTGTGAGCGCCTATAAGATCATCAGACATCTTGCATTATTAGTATGAATGTACTACAACAGCTTGCTTTCTTGTAATACTGAAGACCAATTATACTGAAGGAATAAGATCTTAAGGATTTAAAAGAGGCTGCCCAAAGTTTGGTGGAATATGAGGAAAACACGTTCTGAGTTTCAAACACGTGATCTACAAACTTTTGAAATACAACCAGTTTTTAAGCTTGGGCTTGTTGATATTACATTAGAAGCAGTGGAAAATACCGGCTAACTTAATGGTGGGGGAGAGTGATGAGCTAAATAAATTATTTATATAATTCCAGATTTCTTTCCTTGTTAATCTATCTGACTAACTGATTAGTCTGTAATTAGAATGATGCCCAAGGTGAAATGTCCTAATTGTGGCTAACAGGTCCACACAGGCAATATGCACACTCTTTAGAGGCTAGGACATAGTAGACCAGAGGACATGCAATTTTTGTTGAAAATTTAAATACATACATTCCATTTTACAAGGAAACATGCTTCCAAGATACTGCTAAGTGGCCTTATCATTGGGTAAGATTTGGTGAATGATGGGCTGTTTTCTTATCAGTGGTTTTAGCAAAGAAACTTCCTGGGAGCTCAATTAATAGTAATCAATAACTTTTTTTTTTTTCATGCGTGTGAGTTGGATCTGACTTGACGGCAGTGAGTTTGGGTTTTGGTTTTGGATAGGAACTAAACATTATTCCAAGTTGTTCTGAAATTATTTGACTTCCAAAGGTTTTTTGGCCATTTTGTCAAATTCAGTAAATCCTCAACATGCCGCTAATGAGGATATTCAAAAGAAAAGTACCTAAGACTTGAGAGGCAAATCTCCAGTTCTAAATGATTAGCAATGGTATCATGATGTGGACTCAAGACGTTTTCTGACAATATAGGAAAACAGGAAGCAACTCAGAATTCATTTTATTTAATTTCAGCAGTTGGATTTAGGCATTCCTGTTTTTTTTTTTTTAATGCAAGAATTCCAAAATATAAAATCCAAAAATAATTTGGAAAACGTACCTTCACTGGAATCTAGTGATCCAATTAGTGTGACTAATCTGAAGGGATTAGGAGCTCTGGTAGCATAGTGCCTAAGGCACTTGACTGCTAACCAGAAGGCTGGCTGTTCAAACCCACCAGCCACTCCTCGGAAGGAAGGTTGGGCAATCCTACTTCTGTAGTGATACTGCCTCGGAAACCCAAGGAGGGGTCGCTATGAGTCAGGGCCGACTCGACGGCAAATAATAACAACAACAACAATCTGAAGGGAGCCAGTAATTACATGTGTTTGTTCTGGAGTGTCTCCTTAGCAAAGAACTCGTAAGGGCACTAATTTGCCCTCATACTTAATGAAGAAACTTCCAAACTGGGTCTTTCACGAAACCTCACAAATTTGCTAAAGAATGGATGACAATCAGGCATAATTGACTCCTACATTCCCAATTTCTAGGAAACTGAAACCGGAAGCAATTCATTTGGTAGTTTAATTCAAATCACCTGCTTTCAAATAGTATGTCAGTATTTCACGAGCCAGACTACTCTTCTTACAGATGTTAAATGACAGGAAAAAAAAAAAGTAATATTCCGAGCATATATTTTTCACATATGTGATTTAAGTGATAATCCACTATAAACTGGAAATTGTTCAGGCTCACTTAGAGTGCTTGTATATTTACACAACTTACGCGAACATGCCCTCAGGTGTCATTCGGCCAGTTTGAATTAAATAGGCTCCAAGTTGAAATCCTGCTGCATAGCTAAAATATACAAAGGCACGGCTGATCGCATAACAGCTTCCAAAGATTTGTGCTTTCTTCAAGGCATTTCTGAAACACACAAAATTTACCAAGTGATGGGGCATGAGATGTAGTGAGGACAATCTGACAAATATTATAGAGTAGTGAATACAGAAGACTTAGAGATGCTGTAATTTAGCGGATATACATTTCTCTAAGGATTAAAGAGAAAGTGGTTTTTACTACTGAGAGTTATTATAGAGAAAACTGATAAATACAATGATTTTTTCCTATAGTTGTTTACTCTATAATTAAATGTAACAAAGTTGTATATAAAGACAAAGAATAAACAAAATCTGTAAAAGGACAGCTTAATAAGAGTTCAAGGGATGTGGTTTGATAGTATTTAGAAATAGTCTATATTATAATTTTTCACTCACTCATAGAATAAGTTGTGGGAGTTAAATAGGTGGTATTGACCACAAGCATGTGTACAAAACAGTACCCAGGTACCCCTCTGATAATGTAATACAGAGCATCACTAAGAAAATGTGATAAGAAATACTGGTTTAAAATTAAAAGGCATGAGCACATTGATTATGTATGTTGTTGCTGTTGTTAGGTGCCATCGAGTCGTTTCCGACTCATAGCGACCACATGCACAGCAGAACGAAACACTGCCCGATCCTGCGCCAGCCCCACAATCCCTGCTATATTTGAGCTCATCATTGCAGCCACCGTATCAATCCATCTC